ATATATATATATATATATATATATATATATATATATATTAATTAAAACACAATTTACTCGCGCGCGACGACGCGACAATGTGGGTGTTCTCCCCGGGCAACGTTGATGTTCCGGACGCGTCGGCACAGTCCTTTTCGTCATCCGGGGTCGTCCGGACGAGTTCGCCGACGGGAGAGCCGCGAGTCGATTCAAGTCAAAGTCGCGTGTGGTGTAGTGAGTGTGTGAATTGTGGCGTTCGCGAGTAATCGAGTCACAAAAGGTTTACCTAAAGTCGTTTGATCCTATAGGAACTCATTTTCGGGTCCTCTACATGTTGGTCCTTAGCCCCTGCAACTAGAAGAGTAGTAACAAATAATGCAAGTGCATATAAGGTGTCATGGAGAATATTAAAGGAGAAAATAAAACATCCATATTGAACTCTTTGTGCAGCCCACTCTCGCTTTGATGCTAGAAAAAGTTGACGACTTGACAATACATAAAAATGCTTTGATTGAAACAAAAAAGAGCTAGCAAGTTTATATACAACCACACTTGCAGCTTAATGAGACAATTCACTAATTAAGATCTTGTTCACACTTGTAGCTTAATGAGACAATTCACTAATTAAGATCTTGTTAGACCAGATATCATAAGATTTTATATTGCTTATTTATTCATAGAGTCAAGAATCCATTAGAGGAAATGCTTACTCCTCAATAATATAATGAAGTGAAAAGGCCAAAAAACATATTTAGTGAAACCGGTGAAATAAAATTATCTTAAGAGAGAATACTTTTCAGCAGAGTGTGATATACACTCTTAAGATCATAAAGCCTAATGGAAACATTGATAATGGTTAATGGTGTAGTTTCCTTATAATAGGGTATATGGTGCTATAGATAAGGCTAAAGAATGAATAACAAAGAGCTTGGGAAGAGCAGAATTAGATTATAAAGAGATCTGGAAAATTATTTATCATGAATAGGACAACCAATTACATCGTAATTTGCACTCTACTTGATTTTTTATAAATCCTCAATTTCATATTGATGGTAGCATCTTTGAATGTGCAAATGTTAAAACTGATTTGTATAAATTTAGTTGAAAAAACTGACAAATAAAAGGAATTCATCGTAAAAAGGGCAACATTTGGTATTAGAGCTACCCAATTATCATGCAAAATACATTCACCTAGTAAGATAACAATCAATTTTATTTAATATTAAATATATGATTAAGTTTGTCAAATATGTAATTAATATTATTCTAATTTTATTTTTATAACTAGTGATTTAGAGTATTGGTGGCTGCACTTTAAAGATGAAGCACCAAAATTAAATGCATTGCAGTCAGGGACCTAAGTCCAATATGATTAACTTTTACATGTGAATAAATTGAAGCATATTCAACTAAGTTCCTAAAAATAGAATAAATCATTTGGTTGTGATTAGGATAAATAAATTCATTTATATTCTGTACAATAAAAAATTAAAAAAAAATATCTCATGTTAAACGCAAGTAAGATAATGATAATCTCTTAATTATTGATGATTAGTCATCAAATGATGAATAGATGATTAACCAAAATAAGACAGAAAATGAAGAAATGTTTGATGGATCCTATGATAATGAAGTTATTACTATTTATACTACTAATAACAAGAATTAGCGGAAATTCGGAAAGATCCACCAAATACAAACAAGAATTTGTGGAAATTCACAAAAATCCACCAAACACAAACAATATCAAACATCAAATATCTCGAAAAGTTGGTAAATTTATATTTATTATGAAATACGCAAAAAAACTATTTAATATTTCATTATAATAATCTTGATGCAAGAAAGAAGAAAGAAATTGCGTGGGATGAGAAAGAAGATGAATGGGATGACACAAATGTGAGTAATAAGAATAATAGAGCTATTTGATATCATATCAATTCTTTAAATGATCCTACTAGTGATGATGATAATAATATTGGTTTTAGGGTATAAAAGGCTTCATTCAGAATCCCATTCTGCCCTAGGTTACTATTTTTTTTTTTCCTTAACCAAAACTTATATTCAATTTTTCAATGTTTATGTGCTTTCTTATAGTGTGTTGTTTATGAATTAAGATTATGTTTTTTTATGTACTTTGTGTGTTTTCTGATTTTTCATTATTTCATGGCCTACTTGTATTTTTATCTACATTTCAATTTAATTAATGAAATCAATTTGATTCCGAATTTAAATCTTTTATATTTTTGCAATGAATCAAGGCCAAAGAGTCTCTAAAGCAATTAACATGACTCCATGAGCTCATAGTGGATTATTTCAATGAAGACACGCTCACTAGTCTCTAAAGCCTAATAAATGAGTAACCTCAACACAAACAAGGGCACAATCAACATGACTCCAAAGCTCATAGTGGATTATTTCAATGAAGACACGCTCATAAGGATTCAAGATATGGTTTACCTATAGAGAAGGGATATGAAAGATAGACAAAAGAGGTGCAATATAATAATGCGTTCAAAGAACCCTAAGGTTATAGTATGAAATTTTTCCCTGAATGCGGCACATAAATTTTAAAGAAAATTTACTCATGGCATAAGGATGCCTCGGGAATGATGAGCCTTACAACTCTGCCATACCCATGGATATGATTATAGGAACTAGTCACAACTCGCAAGGGGAAGGATATCAAAGATGATGGAACTTGTAATCAAGAATAATGAATTTGGATTGTTGGAGGAACATAAAACTACACCTCATGTTGTAAATGAATTAAAGCCTCAAAACTCAACAAGTCGTGAATAAGGATATGTACAACCTTAAACAAGTATTCTAGAAAAAATATATCTTCCACCTTGGAGAATAATAATGAACCGCTTGACCCCTCATACTAAAAAAAAGCCTCGAAAAAGTGACTTACAGCGTTACAAAGAGCACATGCCTGAGATACTAGAGATATTGTTGTCTTGCGGCTCTACAACACATAGAGAGAGCTGCCCGTCACAATACTAAGAGGATATCTCTGCCTTGAAATTTGACATTGAGCTTACACTCCCCAATAATTAGAGGGAGATGCCCAATTTGGACTGTTACTCATAAAGCATTGGAACACGGAGTTTAAATAAGTGTGTTTCTTCCAAATTTAATCGGTGTTTGAGGTGGGCAACCCTCCTGCTTCACAATGTTCAACATAAACTATACATGCCACTCAATTTTACATAAGGAATGTCACTCATTCTGAATCCAAAATAATACTGAAAACCAACATACATCTTTCTGAACAAAAATAGCATTCCATGAAAAGCCTAGAAACCGGCATACAATGAATACATTGCAATACTCGCAAATTGATTGTTTTTTTTTTTTTTTTGTCCAGATAAAATTATAGATTTATAGTTAAAATTGATCATGAACAATAATAAACACATTTAGCTATTATGCATTATAGTATCATAAGCATAAAAAAATAAATGAAATACATGCATGCCACTCGATTCTTACGTACTTACATATCTAATAACCAAACTTCAAATTTTACAACTATGTCACCTTAACTATGCATGAAAAGGAGTATTTCACTGTTTAAAAGTTATACTATAGGTATTTTTCATGTGATACGAGAGACTAGAGTGGTATAAATGTAAAAAAGAAAAGTCTAGATGTTAGATATGCAAATACATGAGAATCCTATCTTCAACTCTGTTTAGCCGTATACATGAACAAAAATTACAGAAACCAACAAAAGTGAACTTGAACCACAGGTTCAAAGTAAAAAATTAATAATTTCAACGCAGCTATCACAGTCCAACCAAATCATAAATGGCGCAACGGCTAAAAAGCTTCACTTAATCCCAACCCGAGAATCAATCAATGCAGCTCAAGTTTTAAATTAGAGTAAAATACAAAAAAACAGAGGAAAACAACTGATTCCTACCCAGAAAAGAGCAGTTTAACAACTGAATAAGTGCTCAAAAAATTAATAAAAAATCCCAAATTAATTTTGAAAAATAAACAGCTTGAATAGAATCACACAGACAAGAATGGCGCAGTACCAGAGAATATATGAGCATCATCAAACATATATTTAAAATTAAATTAACTCATCATGCAACCAAAAATAAAAAAAAGCAAAATACATCACAGATCGAAAATAACACTAAATAGATTAAAACCGAACTTCCACAACCAGATACTGCGATCAAAATACTCCCTGAGCTACTGAAAACCATTGCAGCCAAATTCCTGATCGTAGAAACCAAAATGGAAGGAAAAAAAATCCGATAGAAACGCAAAAAGGGACGAACAGAATCCGATTAGGTAACATTACTAAAAACTGATTAAATAATAGAAGAATTGAAGAGAAAAATCAAACCTAACCTTCAAAAGAGATGAATAATCCGAAATCTCTGTCTTTTCTGCTGATTTTCAATTCATTGTTGGGCGATCGCTTCTGCTAGAGTCCGAAGAAATCGAGAAAAGAAACCGAGTGCAGGAGGAGAGCGCAACTGAGAGACAGAAATACAGTTTTATAGGTATTTTGCTCGAGCTTTCCTCCCAAGGAAAAAAAAAATTAATTATATCTTTGCTTCATAAACAGTATAAGTTTATCAAAATTACATTAAAAACCTTCCGTTCTGCTTGATGAAATGTACCAAATTACCCTTAGAGATTTATATATTTCTTCTTGAATGGGTCATTTACATGCATACCACCTAATTTTTATATATTTCGATATCTAATATCTAATTTTTTTTTTTATCTTTATACCATTTAAATTTTCCATAACACATAAATAATATTATTCACTTAACATTTAAATCATTTCACATCAAAAATATCACTATTTTAATTTTTAAAAATTAAAATCTATATTTATAAGATGATATTTGTACATATAGAGCCAGAGACAGCATTAAATATCTAAATTTTAATAAGTATTAGGCAAAAATATATATTCAGTGAGGCAAATTTATATAGAATTAATTATAAAAAAATTTAATTTTACTATTTATATCCACAAATTGTTAGATCCAAATAGGACAATTGCTCGTCCCGGTCATAACATAGTTTCACGTACAAAATAGAAAGCTATACATATATATACATATATATACATCATATATGCAAATAAGTAGAAATTAAGTGATATGTATGTAAATCTTCACAATTATGTAATTATTAATTTTAAGAAATTTATAATTTTATCAAATAAATATGTTCATATTTTCTGTTTTAGATAGCTACAGTTTAATAAAAAACAGTTGTAAATTGTTGAATAATAAGTTAATGCTAAAAAAATTACGGAAGTCACGTCGCAACTATAAAGTTGTCACCGCATCTTGTTATGAGTAGTAGGAAAACGCAGATTTCGACGACAATTTTTTTTAAAATCTATCAAAATACAAATATAATTTTTTCAAACAGACAAAACTGTATATATTGTAGTCCCAAATGGACCCTTAATTTAGCATGTTGCGAGTTACAACACGTCATTAAATAAGTTATGAAATAAAAAGCATGGTCAAATCAACGGTCTTCTTAATTGTAAATTTGTGACCAAATCTTCAAAAAAAAAAAAAATCAATTTGTAAAAGTGATCACTTTTATATATTTATTTATACTAACAAACATTTTAACAATCACTAACAATCAATTGCAGGTCAAGTATGAAAGCCTATTTACATTAAATTAGCAAATTAAATAATTTTTTAATAAAAAACTATTTTATTGCTATATTAATCATCATTTAATTATATTTTTTTGATGGGATTATTATAAATAAAAAATTTATGATTAAAATAATGAGCTGTTTTATATATCATCCAAAACATTACTATTATTTACACGCACAACCCTCATTAATTTTATAAAAGTGAATGCACATTTTATATTAAATTTAAAATGTTATAAGTATAAATATATTAGAATTATGTGGTATTTATTTAAATATTACAAAAGTATTATCATGCTAGACATAGGCATTAGGCGGGAGGCACGACGGGCGCCATAAGTTCGCTTAGAATTAGCCGGATTGGTATGAAAAAATTTAAATTTTGTTGGCTTGGTTAGGACCGAACCCGCTTCGATTTAGTCAAAGCATGAATGAGTCTGACCCATGTCAAGCCCGCTTTGACTAGTCAAAGCCCGAATAAGCTCGACTCACGTCAAACCCAACCTGCACAACACCCAAGTCAAGTCATAACTAAGAACAGTGCATGATAAATTTTGATTGGAATCAAAATAAAAATGTTCAATAAAGACTATAAATAAAAGATTTTAATCATATTCCAATCTTAATGATCATCTCATATCTCTAAAAGCTATGTCTAACTACAAAGTTAAGAGCATGGTGAGTAGATGGCATTATAGTATAATATATAATTGGGTCATTTACATACATACCCCACAATTCTAATATATTTACAAATCTAACATCTAAACTTTTATATTTATATGCACAACACTCAAATCTTTAACATCACATCAAAAATAAACTTTATCATTATTATAATTTTAAATTCTAATAGAAAATCATATTTGCTTCACATCTTAAATTAACATTTTTGGGTCATTTGCATGCACATCACACAATTCTTACGTATTTACATATCTAAACTTTAATATTTACATTTATAAAACTCAAACAACCTCATAACAAAAATATCATTTTACTATTTTTTTTAAATAAAGTGCACCTTTTTTATATGCATAAATTCATAGTGCCAACGTGTTATAAATATAAATATCGAAATTTAGATGCTAAATATGCAATAAATTTTCACCTTTATTATAATATTTACAATTAAAATTAAAAGAAATGAGGGTCCAAATTAAATTACAAAACTAATCAAACTTTCAAAGTTGACAAAATTCAAAGTTGAATAAGCAAAAAAATATAATAGCCTATTTATGCGATGGCACATGTCTGAAGTGCATCAAGCCAAGCTTAATAAAAAAAAAAACAATTGCTATCATCCACCTCAATTATCAACAAACTTTTCGAAACTGGTATAATTATTCGTGTCCGATCTTCAACGTCCATCACAGTAATTATTTTTTTTTAAAAAAAATAATCAAAATAGGACTCACTGTCATACAGCTTTGTTGTGATGAACGGTGAGATCGGACACCGTATGTATTTCTGCATACAGTGTCTGTATGAAATAATTTTTTCCTGAAACTGTGAACTAAATTACAATGTTTATGTATAAATGCTTCTCCGAGCCCATGAAGGTTAAAAATAAAATAAGCAATAATAAAATGCAAGAATATTTTTAATTTGAAAAAAAGAAAAACATTGGAAGCAAGAGAAAAAAAAAACAATGTTGTTAAGGTTGGCCCCTATTGGTCAATTCATATTAAAATAAATTAGTTTAGCTTAAATAAATTCGGGGTATTTATATAAATACCATTGATTTTTTTTCTATGTGCATGTATTTTTCTATGTTTATCAATACAATGCTCTAATTAAAAAAAAAACATTAAAAATATTATTAACACTAATTTATTTTAAAAACACATTCTTTTGCATGAATATTGATTGTATTTTGACTATAAAATTCTATATAAATAAATATTAAATATCTAATATAAATTAACCAAATTTTTAAAATTAACTAATTTCTTGTAGACTTCAATTTATTTTTCCAATGTTTAATGTTTTCAATAAATATATTATTATTAAAAAAAATTAATGGCAAAAAGGTAATTTGATCAACTTACGAGGGTAATATTAAAGTTGGAGGCCTCTCGTGGGGTCCGTGGGGAGCATCAAAAAACGAATAAGCGCATCTCACTCTCACACGTAAGCTTACCTTTCTGTCGATTCTCATCATCACCAGCCACGGTGGAGGTTGGCCTCACGGTTGGATTTATTCCTACCGACGGTAATGTGAATCAATACATGACAAGGTGCGTAGTAGCTGATGATTTCGATTCCTATTATTGACGTCCACGAAAACTTCCTTCAGAAAAATTTAGAAAGATTTGCATATGTACCACATAATTGGTATGTATTTACATAAATAACCCTTAAAGTTTATGTATAAATATGAAAGTAAGTAGCACTGATATGTAAAAATGTAAATTCGAAAATTAATATATAATATAAATGTTTGTATTGTATTGAATTTAAAATTAATTTCAAAATATTAAATTTATTCGTGTTAATTATTAAGATATTTCGATGTAAATATTATTAAAAAATTGCGTTGGAGTTTTGTGTAAATTTCAAATGCAGTACGCATTGGATGACATCAGCGCTCCAATGGAAAGAGGTGTAATGGTCAATTAGGGAAGGATTAGGAAAGTAGTTAGTCCTAAGTATTTATAATTATTAAAATTCATTAATGACCGGTCATAAAGTAAATAAATAATTAATGTTTATTTATAGTTTGTTATTAAGAAAAAAAAGTGATTAAAATTAACTAATGATATCATCTTGAATATGAATTAGCTAATCAGACAATTAATATATAATAATCAACAATTTGAATCTAAATGAGTTAGGGATGCAAGTGAGTCCAATAATTTCGTGCATTGGTTTGGGATTGGCTAGATAAATGAATTGTGAGCTTTAGTTTTATTAAAAAAATAAAATGAATTGTAAGATTAGCTCAGTTGGTTCAGTTCGATCGATGTGGGTCTGTCAGTTGATATGGTTCAAGTGTTGATTCTTGGTCCTTTATGAGGTGCCTTCGGGTGTCCTATGATGGTTAGAGATGCAAGGGAATCAGAGCTTCCCATGGATCTTCCATGATACTTGGCTTGGATGCCCTTTCATCTCATTTTTTTACTAGCTGGCTCGTTCCTATGTCCTCTAGTCGTCTTTAGTTGTCTCTCGTGGCCCGGGTGGCTTTGGCCTTGCTGGCTCGGGTCAGACAATTTTGCTTGTCCGGATAAGCATGTGTCATAATCTTCTATCAGTGGGCTCTTGTTCGCGACACTTTTCTCTTTTGGACCGCTATATCTTCACAATATCAGCAAAGACACATTTTTTAAGTACGCACACACAATCACATACACACAACGAAATAATTTATGAAATTGAATAAATAATGAGTTCATAATATATATTTTTTTAATTATTGGAATTTGTGTGTTGCAATTATAACTTTGGACAATCATATAAAGTACAAATTAAAATTTGAAAAAAGTTAATAAGTTTTTGGTGGTTGTGCTGACTGCTCTCTCACTGTGGCACCAACTATTAATCTATTATACCTAAACACTAATTATTAATTATAGAGCCATTGTGGTTCTTAACCATATAACAAAAAAAAAAACTAAAATTAATTTATAAATCCCAAACAAATGAAGATTTACATGCATACCACTCAATTCCTATATATTTACATATTAAAAAATGTACTTAACTTCTTAAAAATTAAAATTTGTTATATTTTTTATGTGGTAAAAAAGATTTGGGTGGTATAAATGTAAAATAAATAGTAAAATTTAGGTGTTTGATATGTAAATAAATAGAAATTTGGTGGTGGGTAGGAAAATGGCCACCAAAAAAATTTAATTGTCATAAATTTTAAAAGGAAATGTAGCAATT